CGAGAGGGAGACGAATGGAAGACGGCGTTCAAGACCCCCATCGGTCACTACGAGTACTTGGTCATGCCCTTTGGTCTCACTAATGCCCCAGCCGTTTTCCAGGCCCTCGTAAATGACGTCCTGAGAGACTTTATAAATCAGTTCGTGTTTGTGTACATTGATGACATCCTTATTTATTCCCAGAACCCCCAACAACATCAGCAACATGTCCGCCAGGTGCTTCAACGTCTTCTGGAGAACCGCCTCTTCGTTAAGGCTGAGAAGTGCGAGTTTCACCAAAGAACCATCAGCTTCCTTGGCTTCATTTTCGAGGGTGGACAGGTGAAGACGGACCCCGGAAAGGTGGAGGCAGTCGTCAACTGGCCCGTGCCCAATACCCGTAAGCAACTCCAGCGCTTCTTGGGTTTCGCCAACTTTTACCGGGTATTCATCAAGAATTATAGTATTCTTGCCTCACCCCTCACTGCTCTGACCTCCACCAAGAGCGTCTTCCAGTGGTCCCCAGAAGCTGATCAGGCGTTCCGCCTTTTAAAGGAGATGTTTTCACAGGCTCCCATTCTCACCTACCCTGATCCGTCAGCTCAGTTCACTTTGGAGGTGGATGCCTCTGACTCTGGAGCTGGAGCTGTTCTATCACAGATGTCGCCTTCGGATGGCAAACTTCACCCCTGCGCCTTCTTTTCCAGACGATTCTCTCCCGCTGAGAGAAACTACGACATAGGGGATCGAGAACTCCTCGCCATCAAGATGGCCTTGGAGGAGTGGCGTCATTGGCTGGAGGGAACCGAGTTGCCCATAGTCATCTGGACTGATCACAAGAATCTTTCCTGTATCCAGTCAGCCAGACGTTTAAATTCTCGTCAGAGCCGTTGGTCCCTGTTCTTCTCTCGGTTCAACTTCATCATTACCTACCGCCCTGGATCCAAGAACACGAAGCCCGATGCTCTGTCACGTCTGTTTTCCACTTCTGAAGAGGTTAAGGTGCCAGTTCCCATCGTCCCTGAATTTTGTGTGGTGGGAGCCATCACCTGGGATCTTGAGAACAAGATTAAAAGAGCCCAAGAGAGTGAACCTGATCCAGGTGGTGGTCCTCCCCAGAGACTCTATGTTCCTTCTGCTGTGCGCTCTCAGGTTATTCACTGGGGGCACTCCTCTAGATTCTCTGGCCATCCGGGTTCCAGTCGCACCATCGCCTTAATCCGGCGATATTTTTGGTGGCCGAGTTTGTGTCAGCATGCTCAGTGTGTGCCAAAAACAAGGGCTCCTGTAAACCTCCTGCTGGTTTGCTCCAGCCCCTACCCAGACCCAGCCGACCTTGGTCGCACATTGCTTTAGATTTTGTTACTGGCCTTCCCCCATCTAACCGCAAGACTGTTATCCTGTCAGTTATCGATCGTTTCTCTAAGGCATGCCACCTGGTGGCCTTGTCCAAACTCCCTTCTGCTCATCAGACAGCCCGGTTGTTATTTAACCATGTCTTTAAACTCCACGGGTTGCCATCAGAAATAGTCTCCGACCGCGGCCCTCAGTTTATCTCTCGGGTTTGGCGTGACTTCTGTGGATGTCTTGGGGCTAAGGTTTCTCTCACATCCGGGTTTCACCCCCAGTCTAACGGGCAGTGTGAACGATTGAATCAGGAACTAGAAAACACCCTCCGCTGTCTCTGCTCTCGCAACCCCAGCACCTGGAGCCAACATCTGGCCTGGGTAGAATACTCTCATAACTCCCATGTTTCTGCAGCTACCGGTTTATCCCCGTTCGAGGCATCTCTAGGCTACCAGCCCTCTCTCTTACCCTCATCCTTCCCTGACTCAGTCTTGCCGTCCGTAAGAACCCACCTTCGTCGTTGTCGTAGGATCTGGGACCAGACGAGGGCAGCCCTTGAACGTGCCTCTTGTCGAGATAAGAGCTTTGCTGACCGCAAACGCATTCCTGCCCCCACTTACACCTCTGGGCAGGAGGTTTGGCTCTCTTCCAAGGACTTTCCCTTAAAGGCCATGTCCAGGAAGTTAGCTCCCAGGTTTCTCGGTCCTTTTGAGATCGACCAGATTATTAGCCCCACAGCTGTCCGCCTTAAGCTTCCTCCGCACCTCCGTGTCCATCCTACATTTCATGTCTCCCAGATCAAGCCTGTCACCTCCAGTCGGTTGGTCCCTCCGACCAGACCCCCTCCTCCCGCCCGGGTCGTTGATGGCCACCCGGCTTTCACCGTCCACAGGATCGTGGCCTCCAGGCGTCGTGGTCGCGGGTACCAGTACCTTGTGGATTGGGAGGGTTATGGCCCCGAGGACAGGTCCTGGGTCCCTCGTTCTTTTGTTCTGGATCCTGATTTGATCTCTGCCTTTGAGGCTTCCTCCTCCGGGCGGCCGCCAGGGGGCGGCCGTTGAGGGGGGGGTGCTGTCACACTCCGGGTTCCATCCGGGTGCAGGCCAGTTTTTCTCTCTCTCTCCTCTGCAGGGATGGACGGGCAGGTGCACTACATCTGAGATGATCACCACCCTTCTTAAGGAGCTGGAACCAGGAGGAGGGCGTCAGTTTGTTAACGTCACAGCGTTGGTAACAGACCAAACCCAAGCCTAGTCCTAGTCGAAGTAAAAGTCTAGTCTAGTCTAGTCTGAATCTATTTTCGATCCTTTTCCTGCAGAACCCTTGTTTCTGACCCCTGGACCCAGCCGTGAATCTAAGACTTTGGACCCTCCGCCTGAGATACAACCAAGAACCTGAGAAGGATCTCGGGTTAACCACCGTTCAGCCCTCCTACCTGCGATCGCCTGCCTGTCCACCCTCGAACCTCCAACCAGGAAGAGAGTACTGGTCAGCACACGGACCACCGGGGACACTTCCCCCCCAAGACCGGACCACAGCCTCTCTACTGTGAGTGTCACCCCCACCAAGATCCTCCAGCTCAGTTTCCTCTCATTCACCAGCCTCTTCTTCTCTGCAGAAGCCCAGAAGAACCTGACCTGACCAAACTGCCTTCCTGTTCATGTCCACTGCCTAGTTTCTAAATAAAACCTCTTAACCATCTTCAGTCTCTGTAGTTGCTCTCATCCAGAGTCACCTTCATTATGACAACTGTATGACGATCAGAGCTGAGCAGTTTGAAGGATGACACTGTGTGGTTTGACACTGGTTGACAAGGATCAGTGAGCTTTTCCTATTGCCACCAAAAGCTGATTTTTGCTGGGTTTAAATGGGTTTTTTGGCAAGTAGGAAGTGGGTATTAGAGTTGCTTTAACCTCTGGTGTTGTGGAGGTTGAGAAATCCTCCACTTCAAAAGTTCAGTCTGTGGCATAACTACCAGCATCTCTCTGCTTACCCATTATGCTGTAATAAGGCAAAACTAAGCAAGGGTAGGCTTTGCTAGCTTCCACTTTTTCATCCTTTTCCACCTAACCGCCATATCCACCCTTAGCCATGGCCATCAGGGTCTCTTGGTACCAACAAATTTGGGGGACTTATTATTTTTGTTTTGTCATAACACGATCATCTCTTATATAGGAATTATTAACTACGTAAAACATATCATTTTCTTGTCTGTTCTTCTCCATTTGATCAATATGTTCGGGGTTAATACAGCTACAGCCTGACAAAATATGCAGGGCTTCACTATGCGCAACAACATGGTCATGTGCAATAATAATAATTTAGTTACTAAGCAGCATTGTAAATTGTAAATACTGTCGATTGTATACTGTAAACCTTATCTTATTTTATACTTATATCTTATTTGTAATTACAATCTTATTTTTCTCTCTTCCATAAACGGTTGCATTGCAAGAAGAGAATTTCCCGCAAGGGATTAATAAAGTAATTCTGATTCTGACTGGCGGACTCCTCTTAGAAAGGAGGGTGTTAATATTTTTCATAATTTACTTTTGGAAGCACTTAGTTGTTTCCTGGAAGGTTTCAAAGGGTTGCAAGGGTCTACTGTCTCCCAATAAATAAAAATAAATAAATAAACACCATCTTGCACATTCACGAGGTTTGGCCTTTTAAAAAGAATCTGGGGTCAGTAATCACAGAACCTCCACCATGCATTACAGTAGAATTAAGTTGCTTTTCCACTAATTCTGCTGAGAACCTCTTTCTTGTAATCAGATCAAACACTGCTCCACTTCTATTAGCATTTAGACAAACTTTTTAGTGCAAAGACAGAAATAAATGTTGAGATAATGGTTGGTTCTGGTCTATCTTTATCTGAAAAACAAAAAACAAATCACTTCTGAGACTATAATAGCTTCTTGGAAAATATCAAGAATATCCTTGTAGTTTTACAATGTGTTTATAACAAACAAATCTTTTTTTCTTTTTTTACTCCCAGAGACAGTAAACTATGGCATGCACATACTTATGCTATTTATGGTAAATGCAGCAAAGTAGAACAACTGCCCTGCTTGCCTGATAACCCTGTTATCACATGACACGTGTTCAAATAAGCGCTGTCCCTCCTTTTTTTTGACGTTTCCAGGAGTGTTAAACTGATCTGCACATGTGTAAAAAAAAAAAACAATGTGTACAACCGTTGGAGCCCTTTGACCACTCAGGTATTGTTTCCACAGCACCTGTTGCGTTAGAGTGGAACCAAGCTGGTACTAATGCCATTAAAAAGATAAAGCGGACAGGCTTCTAAAACATACCGGTAAGACACGTGCATTGTTTTTCCTCCTATTTTTGAAATAAGTGAATTAATTTTGTTTTGCAAAGTGAAAGTTGTGGGCGCTCGTACTTCTGGACTTTTTCGAAGGACAACAACTGATGAGTGAGTGGAAGTAGGCTGCAATTTTCTTGTGAGGAAATGAGTCTAAAATATTCAAAGTGCTTTTAAATATGATTAAATTGGGTTAGAATTAACATTTCAACCGCTTCTGGCGTCAGCCAATAGCATCGCCCTACTCGTTTGAATATTGAACTAGGCGGGCCTGGTGATTGGTCAGTAGGATGGGTCACGTGGTCTTGAAACGTTACGCTGTCATGGTTACAATGAAAGACGCATTGTGATTTTCACGAGGGGAGGAGGTGTCGAGGCTGGGAGCCATATGGACCCCCGAATCAATGCCAGCTAATGTTTAGAGTTATCTCTCGCTGAAAAATCAACGAAAACTGGGATATATGGCGTAAGAAACGTCAACCGGTGGACTTATTTTAAGAAGGACGTAAGAACGCCGAGGTTTATCGGAACTTTATAAGGCATACACAGGTATGTAAATATATGTTTTCGTAAAGAACTCTTAATTAAAGTGCGAAAGTAATGAAATTATCGGGCTTTAATGATTATTTTGTTGAAGAGAAGATATATGACCGCCATATTTCCTCTGAAAAATGTTTTGAACGTGTTAAATTTTGTGGTTAGCTGAAAGATAAAAAAAAAAAATGGTGTCATTAAAGTGCTGGTGAGTAAAAAGCCAGATGGTTGTTTAGGAAGGGGTGGGGGGGAGCAAGGGTGGAAAATAAAATCTGTGTTTGGAGGTAAAAGATCCACCTGTTACATCTCTGACAGATAATTGCTAAAACAAGATTGATGTCACATATGTTAGATTTGAATTATTAAGCAAATGGGAGCACTTTATTGAATTAAGACAACACTGCAAACTCTTGCTTTGCATTTTTCTTTATATTTATGAATGCAATGTCCAAATGTTATCTCTCTTATTAAAATTAGTGACTGATTGTGTTTGTAAACACACAAACTGCTTGTTAAGAGGACATGGCATTGGCAAAGATGTTTTGTAAAAATAAGTAAATGTTTTAAATGCATTTTTAACTCATTTTCACCTAAAAGGTTCCTTATTTTTTTTCTTTAGACATAGACAGATTTATTTTTGTCATTTTATATACACGAGTGTATACAGAAAGAAATTTAGTTTAAAAGAGCTCTTGACAATTTCATTTTTTAAAGTGCAGCCTTGAAAAACAGTAATAAATACATAAAAAAATACTAATATAAACATATGACTGTATTGTTATTTTCTTTGTCATGTGTTGGTCATAAACTATAAGCCTGTTCTTTATAAGATTCAATTTAGAAGAATCTTTAACAGGCATGGACAGAAACAAGAACCTCATGCATAAAACTTCCTTATTGCAGTTATTCTGGTATAAACTAATACAACCATTTATAACTTTTATACAACTATTTATAACTATCTTTTTTATTTGATTTAAAACAGAAAAGCACCTACTGTTCCCACTATGGCTAAGATGATGTAGCACATTGTCTAATGATAATTTGTACGTTTGAATGAACATGTTTCAGGAGGATTATGAACCCAAACTGAATTTAGTGGTAGTTTTTTTAAAGAGTGCAGATTATGCAGATTATTTTTAGTTGCTGTTATGCTTGAGTCACACAAGTATAACAAGTTATTAATAGCTGATTAATTAGTCAGGCTTTCTTCTCAGTTGGCTTGCCTGCAGGTAGCTGCTAAACCAGCTTGCTGCTTGAAGCTTGCCAAGTATAGTGTCAAAACTGTTACCTTGATAACAGCGAGGAGTGGCACTCCTTTCATTTTCACATCACGGCTTGCCATGGTTTTCTTGGTAAGAGATAATGCCAAGAAACTAGATCTGTATTTCATTTAAGGAAGGGAAACGTATACTGACCCATTTCTATCCAGTTGAGCAGAAGAGGTCGGTCAGGGGAGAGTGATGCAATCCGCCAATATTTTTTAAAGGATTTTTAATTGTAAGAACAGTATGAAACACTTTTTTTGAGCACAGACCTCCGCCAAGTTGCTAGGGAAGCAACTTGGCGGGAAGAATTTACCTTAATTTTAGTTATTCTAGTTTTTTTTTTTTTGTATATTAATCCACCTCCACATTTTTTTTACGCCTGATAAATATTTGTGAAGTATTGTTTATTTAGACTACGTTTTCTGAAAATTGTTTATTTAGACTACGTTTTCTGAAAAATTACAAATTACAAATAATTGAGAAACCAAAAATCTATTTGTAAATAAAGCATTTTTTTCCACATATCTTGAGCAGGAATAAAATGTGATGAATGCATAAAGCGGCGTGTGTATCATACTATATATACATATGTATGACATATATACATATATATATAAACGTAACATGCAACATGGATACGAACCTTATTCATATTTTAACATTTTTCAGTGTTATGTCACTTTACCACCACCCTGTTGTACTGTTTAACTCTTTGATCTACAGTCACACATTTTTTTTCTTAAGTAGACTAAACATTCTTTGTGTTTTTTTGTTATTTTTTTGTTTGTTTTTTTGCTTTAAAAGATAAATGAATTGAATAAATTGAGCCACCTAACATTATTTAACGTTCCTGTCAAAGTGATGCATTGCTAAAAGAGGTAATCAGTTTTCTCTTTTTCTAATTGCAGGATGACAACAACACAGTAGTGTTGGCAATCAAAGGGTTTTTCGAATTGATCTCAACACCCTAAGAATTAAAATGAGGATACAAGGGCAGCCAGAGGGAGCACGAAGACGCCTGGATATGAACCTAGCTGGTGAGCTGCGGGATGTGGAGATCATCCGTGGTCGTGCTGGCTACGGTTTTACAATTACAGGACAGAAACCGTGTGTCCTGAGTGGCATCATGGAGGGGAGTCCTGCTTATGTGGTGGGGTTAAGACAAGGAGATCGGATCATGGCTATCAATGGAGCAGACGTGTTCGCAGATTCTCATGAAACGGTGGTGCAGCTGATTGGCGGCTGCAAAGGGCCCCTGCATATGTTGGTGCTCTCAGAACGCCGAATAATGGCAAACCCCATCCTTAATGATGCCAAGTTTGGGTTTGAGCAAAAAGGCAACGTTTTTCAAAAGCCGAGTGTTCTCCGCACGATATCGCATGACTCTAGCCGACCGTCCTGTTATCCTTCCAATGGCGTCACAGCTAAACAGAGGCCCGTTTCAGAGCCTGACATGTTCATGTGGTCGAAGCAGCTAAATGCTTTATCAGAGAAGGTGAAGGTGGAACAACCTGCAGTGAGAGACACAGATACTGTCTTAACAGATGCTGAAGTTCATCCAGACTGGACTGTTTTAAACATGACTTTGGTGGTCGGCTACCTCAGCTCCACTGAACTGATCCTGAACACCAGTGATGCAGAGAGCAACAGTTTAAAGGCCATTCGGGAAAGAATCCGACAGTTGGGCACTGAGCAGGATACCCACACTCTGGTGATGATGAAGGTCATGTATGATTGCGTTCGACTGTGTGACGACGCAGGAGCCGTTTTGGCCGCCTTCCCTGCTGAGAACCTCGTTTTAGGAGCTGTTTGTGCCGAGGATCCACGTTTCTTCTGCCTGGTCACCACGGCACACATCATCGGCGGCCGTGTACCAGAGGATGAGCCTCTTCGGGCATCCTGTCACGTCTTCTTCATCGACCCGGAGCTGGGAAATCATAAGGATCATATAGGCATTGCTGGCCGCTTTGGCTTTGACTGCACCCCAGATCCAGATGCTTTGGGCTGCCTGGAGTTCCCACAGACTCCCCTAGATGTGCTGCACTTCGTTACAGTCCTGTATGGTGACCTGGGAGAGGGGGTGGAAAGACTCCGAGCCAAACTGGACATGGAGACTCAGCAGCAGATCAAGGAAATGGACAGCACAAGCAAACTAGGCAGCGCCAGCAGCAGCGGGGACAGCGGGATTGAAAATCCTTCCCCCCCTGAGGAGAGAGAGGAAGGGGGTTTCCCTTCTGATATCCCAAATCTCTCTGGGTCCAACCTCCCCAGCTGTCCATGGGATTGCTCCTCGGCTGAAGTCGTTACCCCGATAAACCTTGGCAAGGATGGCCAGAATCAGAACAGCGCCAGCACACATTCTCTTTCAGAATCCCTACCTGGCCCGGATTCTCTTATAAGCTTTTACGGAGGTCCCCCGCCCAGGCTGGAGTTCCACTTCAAGCCCCCGCCTCCACCTCTTCCTCTGGGTAAAAAACCAAACTTCCTGGCTCATCCTATGAGAAACAGTCAAAGGTGGTTTTCAAAGCAAAAAAGGCCTAAAGCTTTAAGCAGTGACTCCTTACATCAAGACACATCCAGCGCCACCACAAATAACCCCCCTCCTCCACTGGGCCAGGTACCCTCAGACAGGTACCAGTCCACAGAGGCCATGATTCCTCCTAGAGAGGAATGGACCCGAAGATTTCTTGAACAAAGGCAGAAACAGAGGACAGATGGCAGCTTCAGAAATGTAAGAAATCTCCCCGTTCCTCCTTAAACTTTCCAATTAAATGAGATTAAATCTTTAGCTTTAACTCAAAAGGATTAGTTAATATAAACAGATTTAAAGTGGCTCGTTTTTCATTTTGTCTCGATCGATTGGTATCGACTGGAGACACTTCTTAAATGAAAATCTGTTGATCTGAGGTATAGCAGCCCTAAATAGACAATTGTTGGTTTTTTTTTTACTGTAGAATAAATATGTGTTAAAGCCTAAAGCAGCACAGAGATTATTTTTATTATAAATAAGGGGTGCTGTCCAAGCTTACACCCATCATGGACAACACCTCTCACCCTCTGCACCAGACTGTAGAGTAGCTCCTTTAGTGAAAGACTTTTACACCCTGTTTGTATAAAGGAGCACTACTGCAGGTAATTCATCCCTGCTGCCATCACACTTTACAATGTGGCACTATAACTGCAATAACGTACAATAACTAATGTGCAATCACTATTTAATACCCTGTGTAATAACCAGTTTATATTTAAGACCCAGTTCAATAACTATATATATAAATGCCCATTTAATACCCTGTGCAATAACCCTTAGTAATAATCCTGTTAAATAAGAGACTTCAGCTACTATATATATATATATATATATATATATATATATATATATATATATATATATTTGGACACACTGTATATACTATATATACCCCATGCACATTTTCCTCCTTTTGCACCTTTCTGTGCAGATTATAAAGCCTGTGAGATTTATAAAGCCTACCAATATAAATGCTAATTTCAGAAAAGATCCCCGCAAAAAAAAAAATGAATGCTGTTGATGCGTAGGTGGAACCAATCAGATTTTCTTCCTCGCTGCTGCTTTTGTGTTTCTCCACAAGATGTCCCCATGTATCCGCATAGCTTTGTAAACATGCCTTACCTCCTCAGCCAGGCATTGAAGCAGACTCACTGGAGTGGTTTCTCTTTCTCTCCAGGCACACAAAGGGCTCCAATTAGGCCCCCTCTTGGTATATGTGTGCTGCCTAAAAAAAAAAAAAGGTTCAAAATACTCCCAAGTATGTTTTGGATAAGTCCGGATTCAAGCTATCAGCTCCTATTTCTCCATTTATTGTGGTGATTTTTTAAACTCAGAGCTACTTTTTGTTTCCCTGCTGCGTTCTTAGATCTGAACGGAGACAACTTTAGACAGGAAGCTGAGCAAATTACAGGGTAGAGCCCATTTCATACATTGGTAATTATCTGCAATTCTTTAACTCTAGTTTAAACATCAGCCACATTGTCAGCTATTGTAATAATTGGTTGGTGGTCGGAAAAAGTTAGAACGCAGAGTATCTAAGATGGCTCTGTCTCAGACGCTCTGATCAACGTTAAAATTACATAAAATATGTGATCTTTGATTGACAACTTAACTTCTTTAAGTCCACTAAAGCATTTAGAAAGGAACCTATTTGAAAGGATGGCATTCAGGTATTTTAAAGCGTCTTTTTAAACTTTAATATATGTTTGCTTCCTCTAAAAGCAGAACAAAAACCTGTATAAAGGGGGGAAAGTGTGATGTCCCTTAAAACAAAACAGTCATGTGTGTTTTCTCAACCTTCTTCTCTAATAGGGGTCCAGGTTTTGGGGCATAGGTGCTGCCCGAGCCTCTAAACGTCGGTCTTCCAAACGTCTCAGCATGGCACGATCTCTGGATGATCTGGAGGTAGGAGTTGAGTTAATTTCTTATATATATAAAATGGGTGTTATGATTCTGTGTATAACTTATACAGCCAAGTATCATCTCCGTACCTGATGATGGCATTTCTAAGCAGTTAATATTCTGAAGTTAATCCCTGTTGCTGGCTTTCTGTAAGGATCTGCCAAGATTTCTGCATCTTAATAATCTTTGGTTTAAAGTTATTTTCCCCAAAATTTTACAGTGAAATTTATTAGAAATGCCCTGATATCAACCTTTTGGCTGATGTTAATATTTGATATTCATATTGCCGTTATGGCCACTAACCAATGTTTCCTCACTGCAAAAAAAAAAAAAAGAAATCTAAATAAGTAATTTTTTTCTTAAAATAAATGCATTTGTTCTTGAATGGAGGAGGTAAGTGAGACACTTTGCCAATGGAACAAGACAATTTACATTATTTCAAGTGCATATTATCTAATTATCTGATTTTATGAGTAAAAACACTCATTCCAATGGCAGATCATCTTATTTACCTACCTAAATTAAGGGTATATACCTTAATTTAAGATTTTTTAAACTAATTTCTAGATATTTTTTGCAGTGCTGTTATTAATATTTACTTATATTGTTAAGAATTTCCCGCAAGGGATTAATAAAGTAATTCTGATTCATATTTTTACACATGAAAAGATCCCAACCCCTCTGACATACCTTCTCTGCACTATTTCATCACGACTGCATAAAAAAAATCCCATAACATTGTGATGTCATGCATCCATTTCTATTGAGAGATATGGCTGCTGTGGCTTCCTGTCTGGCTCTGACCTAAACTGCTGTTGTGGACATTAAACTCTCAGGACTGCAGAGAGCTGAACACAAGCAGTTAATGTTTCGAATGTTCCAAAAAACACTTTGTTTTTAAAAAGTAGAAAAACTTCAGAACATGAAATGGGGATAGATGGTAACCTATGTTAAATCAAACACCAAGGGGAAACATGCTAGCATCCATTTGGAAACATTAGTTTATCAGTTATTTGGATATTCGCCTAAATCTCATCTTTATCAAATTTTTTAAAGTCTTTTAACTGGACATGCCACTGACACGTCCCCCTTTTAGCTGCACCTCTCTAACCTTTCATTTCCGTTGCCTTGAACTCCGTTTGCTGTTCCACTTGTGGCGAGGGGTGCCTCACAAAGTGGTCTTTGTACGAGCCAGAGGCATGGACCTGTTTGTTTGGTCTTGCTAATGAGCCCTGCTGCACATTCTGCATTCGAAGCCCAAGTCGTTGCCTCACATTAATGACGCCTAACAACGCGCTTTTTCCTGCTCACTAAGAAAACCTGCATTACTGGCGCAAAGTGAGACGTATTCGCTTGTAGTTACTTACCCTAACTGTGTTAAATGTGTTTGTAGAAGAAAGAAAAACAACTTAACAGACCAAATGATTGCTTGCTGTATAAATATGTGTGAGTCATGCACTGTGAGAGGCAGAGCACAAACCTGCTGTTCAGATTTGCCACTACAAAAACACCGAGCAGGGCTATTGTTTGAAAGCTCCATCATCAGAGCAGGTCTGACCTAGATGTAACAATAAAGCAATTTACTGTCCTAATAACCAGCTTTTATTTCCTGCTGTCCTCTGTTCTCATATTGTAAGAAACCAATTTGAAGAGCTGCGACGGGAGCAGCTACACTCCTTAAAGCCACTTCAAGGAAGTTATGAAAGTTGCCTGATGAGTGGTTATCACCAGACTAAGTGTTTCTGTCTTCTTGATTTGGGTATATTTATTTCCCTTGGCTTCCAGCAAGTTGCAATTCGCTGTGCATCAATCAATAGTAGAATTGCTTCTGAGTATCCTTTGGCAACTGATGTAGTGCATTTCCTGGAATCGTTCTATTACCAACCATGAGATTATACCCAAGTGAATATGAACTTAGAAGGTATGAGTGCAACATAACCTTGGCCGATGTTTCCTTTGCATGTCTTTGTTCATATATGTGTTGTTTGTGTTCTTAACTCCTTTCTAAGAACAGAATTGTACTATTTTATTTATTTGACTAATCCACCATAAGAATAAATAGTTGAGAAAATAAAAAAAGAAGGATGGATGTCTTTCTCCAAACATTTTTTTTCGTTCCCAGAAGCAGCGCTAGACACCGTCAAGGAATAGAAAGTGTCAGATGGTTGTATCCCACACAGTGTTTCTGTATAGCTTGGAAAAATTGGTTAAGATGTACGTAGATTTTTAATCTGAAGCCTTTTACTGGTCTGAATACGTACGGGAGCAGAGAGGATGTAAAAATATTTGGTTTTTAGGTAGGGATGCACCGACCTAGTTTTAATTCCGATTCAATTCCTGGGCTGAGCGCATCGGACGATATCCGATACGATCCAGTTCAACTGCTAAATGAACCATATATGTTGCCGTATGAGGGAATACTTTAGCCCTGACATAAACGTTGTTAAAAAAGGTGACAAATTAACACAGATATAAATGTACTTCATATTATTTATTAATAAATAACCTATAAAAATAAAGAAATAAGAGCTCCATGTAAGGTGCTCTGGATTTGAAATCTGATATCCGATCCAGATATTTAGTCAATTTCGGAGCCGATACCTGATCCAGGTATCAGATCGGTACACCTCTCTTTTTAGGGTTTTATTCCCCATCCCATTGTCAGAAGGTTACATAAATCTATCCATCTGTCCATCTTTCCATCCATCCATTTGCTTTACAATCAGTTTCTTACCAGTCTGATAAATAAAGCCTATAAAAAAGTCTCCTGTGAACTTTTGTATTTCTACGTTAAAACTCTGTGTTAATTTGTGCATCAATGGGTGAATGAATTAATACAGAATAAACATTTTGGGGTCTTCAGACTTGATAAAACGCTATGCAACCAGTCGAGTTTTTACCAAAACTGAGAGAAAAAGTAATGTGAACTATGACAATCAAACTGTAAACAGCAAATGATCACCCCTTTTTTGAAGGACTCATAGTTAGCATGTACACACTATACTTTCCTGTCAATTATTACCCAGTTCATTTAAACTTTTGTTCTATTCAAGATAATACCCACTGAGAATTTATTGCTTGCAATTTTTTTTTGGGTCATCCACTCTCTACCTAAACTTGAGAAAAGTTTATCCAGAGAATCAGTCTGCAATCAATAAAAGTACAGTCAATACAAAACTAGTAAAAACATCTTTAAGCATCTTTATCTGGAGATTTTTTTCTCTATAGTATTTCCTAGAGCTGCTGATTCAGACTTCATGCTTGGATCCTATGCTAACCTTGTATCTTAGCCTCAAACTGAAGTCAGCAGGATGCTCTGAATGACAAGGTCAGCATAAATACATGATAACCTCTGAATTTAGCGCGTGCATCTGGACTCACAAGGACATCCTGAGACTGTTTAATTCCTCCTTAACCCTCCTGGGGCAGCAGACCCTTGTGGTTAAGCCCTTTTTTAGCCTTGATGCCTGCATATGAGAAAAGAAAAAAAACTAATGGAGTTGTCCCTTTTTTTAAATCGGTTTGGCAAAGGTTTGTGCAAGAATGGACTAATTCTCTGTTTTCCACCAAATGCAGCTACTGAAAACATGCCGCAGTATACAACTCTATTTGTTGTGTATTTAGTGGGAGAAACAGCTTTTATCTCATGTCTGTTTTGGTCTGATTCATTTATTTTCTCCCCCCCTTGTAGCTTGCAGCTCAGCGTTTGTCAGATCCTCTTCTATGTTTGGGCATGCCGAAGAATGTTCTGCTTTGTCCCTTCTTGTCTTATTACCTTTCAGAGCTCGTCAGGCAGATGCCTCTGCATCCCGCTGTATAGCTCCACTTTTATGTGCGTATTTTTTTCCTCACAGTCTCAAGCAGATGTTTTGCGCTCAGCAGATGACTGTGTGTTCAGCTCCGCACAGATGACACCATTAGTCGACTGCCCTATCTGTGTTCACGCTGACTCTGCTCTGTCTTCAGAGGTGTTTTATTGCTGCATATGATAACATCTGTTAATGTGAGCAGCTAGAGGAAGCACACTGTTTTCACCCTGCTGGGAGATCTGTGACAGCTTTATTGCTCTGTGAGTTTCTCCTTTCCTTTTTGGTGTGGAGACATCAGCAGCACTTGTTTGCTTGCCTGAAGGTAACATATCTGTCTTGTGGGCGTGAGGGAAAGGCATGAGGACGCAGAGACGGTGAGAGAGGTGAAAACAGAGGGGAAAGGAGGAGGAATCCACAGCAGAGAGAAAAACAGAGAGAGAGAGAGAGAGAGGATCGGGCATCAGAGGGAAGAGAGAGGGAGCTTTTGAACTCCCCGTTGCTGTCAGTATTTTCAGGCTCCTGTGTGTGCGCTCTCCTCCTCCTCAGTTCAGATCCGTTTCTCTCTCTTTCACTGCAAAAGCCGCACAGACTCTCACACCTACGCTCAGCCGATATCCAGCGGATGGACCCTTTTACACGCACCAGCCGTGGGGACCAGCGCTGAAAACGAGCCAGACGCACGCGCACAGGGCTATACATGGAGCAAACTTTAACTCTCAACTCTGTAAGTCCTCACATCAAGAGCTGTTTCTCATTCAGGCTGTCTGCTGATTCCATTTTCATCTGCCACACTCTTCCTTCTTTGGGACTGAGTGCTCTTGTTGTAGCAGCTATACAGTGGTTAGTTGTGTGATCTGTCAGAGGAATGTTTTGACCATTGCCAGCTGAACTCACATGTGTTATATGGCACACTGCTGTGTGCAGCATAATGCATTCCTACTTTATATATGAGGATCTAAGCTAACTTTCATTTAGATGCTTAAACTAAAAAAAAAAGACTGAGCTTTTATGACCCAGGCTTATTGTTATTAGTTGCATGGCCTTTTGTGTGCTCTGTTGCACTTGCCCTGAGAAATGACCTCGTTCACAGTCAGCTGGCAGCACCAAGAGAAGTTCCATTCAGTGTGAAGGACACAGAGGAGCAGAGGTTGTTGCTGTGTGATGGGATTAAATTAGCACAGGCGTTCAGTCGCC